GGGGGGGAGCAGAAACTCACATCATTAGTCAACTTGCGGTAGTTGAGATCACCCTTGAAGAGAACGAGTTCACTCTGCTTGAGATCCTCGTAGAGATCCGGGGCGAGGTACGGCATGCGCCAGTAACCGCCGGGGAGGGTCCAGAAGGCGTGCGGGCGGATGACGAGCTTGCCCTCGGCGTGGAGGTGGCTCCAGTGGTCGAACAGGAAAGTCACCTCGGAAAGTTCCTTCTGGGACAGCGGGTCGTGCGTGCGGCCGGACTCGTCGGCGGCGGTGAAGAAGCCCTGGGCGTCGGCGAGGGCGTTGATGAGGGCCATGAAGTCCGGCGGGGTGACGTCGGACACGAACCACGGGATCACCTTCGGGTGGAGGACGACGGTCGTGGCCAGCCCCGCGGAGAGCAGGTAGCCGGCGAGGATGAGGTCGACGAACAGCTCGAAGCCGGAGTTGTCGAGGACGATGTCGACGCGCCGTTCCTGGGTTTTGCGCTCGCGCCGGGCCCGCTGCAGCACGTCGAAGGCGGCATCGAGGTCGTTGACGAGGATGTTCTCCTCGGCAGCCTTGCGGGCCTTGGAGCCCTGCAGCTTCTGGATGTCCTCGTAGGTGAGCGAGGTCAGGAGGGAGAGGTCGGTGGCATTGCCCCACAGGCAGATCTCGCACATCTCCGAGAAGAGCACCCGCTCCGCCTGCTCGACCTGCTCCGCGCTGCGGCCCTCGTTGCCGCCCTTCTCGGCTTCCGTGGCCAGCTCCTTGTATCGGGCCGCCAGTTCGAGAACAGCAGGACGGGATGACTTGAAGGTCGAGAGCTTCTGCCGGGCGAACACGTCATAGCCCTTCCAGTGTTTGGAGAGCGAGAAAAGGGTGCTCAACCGTCTGTCTGATTATGTCGTCAGCGCCAAGTGCCCAAGCCCCCGAGCTCAATATGTTACGCACAGAGGTAGCATTCTGAGTAAAGCCACGAGACATCATGCCATGCCGGGTTCCCCCGTTCTTCGAGCTCCTTGTTGTAGTCTGCGATATCGGGTTGGCCGTCGTCGGGAAGGGGGCTGTCGACGGCATGGCCATGTTAGATGGTTTAGCACCGGCGGTGTACAGGTACAAGTCTCACGTCAATTGTCTGTTATGCTGCAGCTCATACTTGAATGCTGCGAGCTTCTCGGTGATTTCCTTTCCTTCCCGACGCTTTTCCTCATCGGTTGTCTCGCTAACGGTGCGGTGCAGGTCATCAATGGCACCTGTCTGCGTTATATCGTTGTCGTCAGCATTACATGCCAGTGATCTATCAGGGACAGACGTACCAGGATGATCGGCCAGCGCTCACGAGCTGAGACGGAGGCAAAGCTGGACTGATCGGAAGTGAGATATTGCGCTGGTGGAGAGGGAAAAGCGGGGTCAGTCAAATACTGGTTGGTTTTAGAGAATTAAACGAGGGACTTACGGGTTTTTGGGTCGTAGTCCATTGTGTAATATTAGTATAAGAAAAACCAAGATTTTAAATAAACAGAAGAAAAAAGAAGAAGAGATGGTGTCTGAAGAAAGGAAGAATGATGGAGGGGAAGCCCGCGACTTGGTTGAACCTTGAAGAATCGCGGGGTTGCCGCGCTCGGAAATCCCTCCGCCCCGCAGCCAAACCATTATCAATCAGTCAGTCAGTCAGTCAGTCAGTCATTCTCTAATTTAATTGCGCTGCGCGGTCTATTCGTCTGTCTAGAAGGGAAGAGAGGGACATTTGCTATAACCATCAACCATCCAAAGCGAAGCAATGAAACAACAAACAAGCACAATGCACATGCAGATAAAAGGCAACTCCGCACGACAGCCGCCAATCCAACACCGCTCAGACCTGCACATGCCAGGCAAGAAGCGAAATAGCAATGAAGATGTGAAAGAATAAAGAAAGGGCAAGGAAAGAAAAGAAAAGAAAACACCCCTCAGATCCAGAACGATAGATTTAATCCGCTATGCAAAACAAAAATGGTCCTCAAGGTCGTCATCAATCAAAAATCATTCAATAGATACATCGCCCTCGTACTGTGGGTCCTGAGGCAATCCATCCGAATCCTCGTCTATGTATTCGGAACTTCGCCTCCAAGCCGCGAGGCTTTCCCCGCGTTTATCATTCCAAGTCAGAATGGGGCTCACATCATAGACATGAGGGAGCTTTGTGCGTAGGCCTGCGAACGTTTTAGCGTCTGTGTACCTGTCTTGATTAGGGTCTGCAAGACTTACCATCGGCTTGATGTCAGGGTGGGGAACAGCCTCGAAGACCTGGTACTCAAGCTTGAGCTCAGGCCCAATCTTGATGAAAGCACCCTTGTTCTCGGTGGAATCGCAATACTTGGGCGCCGAGAAGACCGTGATGCAGCGTCCATCATGCTCGACCTCGTAGCCCTCCATGCGAACCTCGTGCGATCGGATGATCGCCTCCAGTCCGTTCTTCTCACAGAAGCGCTTGGTGACGTCGGGTCCGAATTGAAGACCAACACCGCGCTTGCTGGGTCCACGACCAGGTTGGGTCTGCGGGTCGGTCCAGAGCATCTCCATCATCAACCCCTGCTGGCCCGGCTGGCGCTGGTTATGGCGGTTCAACTTGCGGATATCATCGAGGGTAGTGTTGTCGTCGGAGAAGAGACCACCGTGGAGAACAAGGTACTTGTTACCGATCAACGTGGCCAAGGGCAGAGCGGAGAAGGACTCCGAGAAGACCTTGAAGGTGGTCTCGTTGTATTTAGCCTTGCACTCGCCCTCAAAACCGTACACCTTGTTCATGTCGTCCGTCTCGTGGTTGCCACGGTTCAAGAAGATGCGGTTGGGTCTCAGCCACTTGTACGCGTAGAGAAGCAGAGCAATCTCAGTCGACCACGATCCCCGATCCACAAAGTCACCGTTGAAGAGATAAGCATTCGTCTCGCTCGGATAGCCGTTCAACCGGAAAATCTCAAGCAGGTCGAAGTATTGTCCTGTCCCACGATCAGTCTTCACCGGAGAACCAGAAAACAAGAGCGCGCTAGGTCCCTACCGTGCGTATCACCACAGACCGTCAAGCGGGTGCCCTCCTCGACGCCAACCTCCACCATCGTCGGCTCAGCGTAGACGATGTCCTTCACGGCCTTGATTATTTGGAAGACGTACTTGCGGTGAATCTTCTTGCCGTTCTTGAACCGCTCGATCATATCGTCGATGAACTCCTGTGTCATCTCGTTCTTCTCCAACCGCACGCCATCGTAGCTAGCATCCACAGCAATCGAGTCGATATCCAGGCTCTCGAAAGCCGAGGGCGGGTCGCTGACTTCGATGGCCTTCTCGAACTCCAGCCGGCGGACCAGCTTCTCACATTCAGCGAGCTTCAGCTTCGCATCGCGGTTTCCCGGATCCCGCTTAACCACCGCCCTAAAGTCCTTGAGGGCTTCCTTGTAGTGCAGGATGGCGCTGTTTGCAAGGGCTCGTCTCCAGTATGCCTAAGTGATGTGACGTTGGTCAGAATATAGTCCAAGCGCAGGCGCTTAAACACATTCAGGACTTTGAACAAACCTTGATGAAGTTGGGGTCAAGCTCCAGTGCCTTGGTGGCATCTGCAATCGCAAATCCGTACGCTTCAAGCTTGATATGCGCCTAGATCTCCCCAACGCCACCCAGCCAAAGTATCAGTATACAGGAAACCGCCACATTGAGAGGATGATCGGGGAGGAGCTAGCAAGACTGTTGGGGACAGCAGCGCGACATACCTGAGCTCTGTTGCTGAAGAAGGTGGGTTCCTTGTCGTACTTCTCTATCGCCTGTGTGTAGAAGTCGATGGCGGCGGGCCATTCATGTTGCGCGAACGCCTTGTTCCCCTGCGCCTTCAGCGCAGTGGCAGCCTCAAGATCGGAGGACGCCATCGGAAGGATAATAAGGTGTTGATAAAGTGAGAGGAGAGTGTGGATAGCAAGTGGCCTGGTAAAAATGAGGTGGATGGCAGGGGGGAGGTTTTCGGCAGGTGAGCACGCGGGAACAAATTAATTGTTAAGGGAAAGAGGCGGGGAGAATTGAAGAGAGAGAGAGAGAACGAGAGAGGCGACGACGATGATGATGCAGTGAACCCGACACCAAAGGGGACAGTAATGACTCACGGACAGTGCCCAAATTGATAACAATGTAAGAGAATGAAATAAGACCAGGAGCAATCTCAACGAATAAAAGATCTTTGATCTCTGGCAAAGCTGTGAACAGCCAGTCAATCAATCAATCAATCAATCAATCAGCCGCCATGAAGCACTTCCGATGATTTATTTGATGTCCGCCCGTTTTCTCCGGTCTTGGCAACTCTCCCGGTCCGATTCGAGAACCTGCGACCACCACCGGACCTTCTACTCAACCTTGAATTCATTCATTATCGCCATTCATTCTGCTTTATCAATCCTATTGTCCTCCCCCCAGCAAAGCATCCAACCCTGTCGCGGCTCCCTCCACAGCGTACCAGCCTTCGATCCAGCCCAGCATTCCACCCGCAACAAAGAAACAAAAAAACACACATAAGGGCACACACCTCTGGCCGGAGTCCAGCTCAGCGACACTCCGTTGACCTCCTCAACCTCCATACCAACCAACTAACCAACCAACCAACCGCATAACTTTCAACCAAAGGAAAAAATGTCCTACTACGTCGCGCCCAGCCAGCAGCGCACTCTCCGCGCTTGCATGGTCTGCTCTCTCGTCCAACTCCACAGCGTGAGTCAAAAACGCAACCCCCAAACCAGCTTCTGTTTCACTACCACAACCCATTCCAATCCATACTGCCCCCTCCCACACCATAACCTCACACATGACCGTCATCCAAAAGCTAACATAATATCCTTTTGCCCCCGCAATGCAGAAATTCATGCGCGAAGGCTGCCCCAACTGCGACAACGTCCTCGGCCTCCGCGGCAACAACGACGCCATCCAAGAATGCACATCCCAGGTCTTTGAGGGCCTGCTGACACTCCGGGATCCCACGACCAGCTGGGTGGCTCGGTGGCAGCGGCTGGATAGCTATGTCCCCGGGACATACGCCGTCAAGGTGACCGGTTCGGTGAGTGTTTTTGGCGCGCATGGGCCTGGCCCATACCACCGGGTGTGGTTTGGAGACTAACTGACGGCTGTTGCAGCTTCCGGATGAGATCATTTCCAGCTTGGAGGACTCGGGGATCAAGTATATTCCGTATGTTGAGCCACACACTCCCTCCATCTTGTGTTTCTGAGACACGCCCTGGCAGCAGCAGCAGCAGCAGCAGCAGCAGCAGCAGAAGAAGCTTACTGACTGATTTTCTTCTATAGGAGGGATGGTAGTACTGGCGAAGAGGAGGCGTAGGAACGGGGCCACTTGCTTCGATATTTGCTGAATGACGAAGGCCGCGCGGCCTAGAAATTCTGGGTGGAAGGGAAGGTGGATTTCTATTTTTTTTGTTCCTTGCGCGGTTGCACAACACTGGAGTTTTGGTTAGGTTGTTCTCTCGTACTATATGCGATTCCGGGAAATATGGTTGCTTGCCCCTTGGTTTTCTTTTTACTGCGCCGGGGTTGCTCGTCTATTCTTATTTTTCCAAAGACGAGCTTTCAGAAAGGTTCAGAAGATCAGCCCCAAACAATGCTCGATACCCGATTAGATGAATGTTCAATGTTGCCTTCCTGATGGCATCCAATTGCTATTTCTCGATGCTAACATAAATACAAGGCATCAACTCATCGTACTCATACGCTGCTGAATTTGGCTCAAGTAGAACGCAAGAAATGAATCCAATTAATTGCCGACCCGCCCGATGTACCACTGAACGCCAGATTTCAATCACAAATGTCCCAGGTAAAGAAGAAATGTTGGTAGGCAATCAGGCCGCTTTACAGCTGCTTGATGATCTTCTCAACGCTCTCCAAGAGGATATCAGCTGCACACAATGTTAGCCTCCGGCCATCTTACTCCTGTCAGGTGATACCGATTGACTTACCATGGTGCTTCTGGAAGATCAACATGGGCCTCAGGCGAACGGCGCTCTGGCCGCTTCCTCCAATGTTGACACCGACGTTCTTGGCCTTGGCCAAGAATTCATCACGCTTGGGAGAGTCCCAGGCAATGAAGGTACCCTGGCCCTTGCCACGGAGATTCTGCAAGTGCTCGGGGTACTGCTTAGCAAGGCGCTCGAGACCGGCGAACAGGTAGTCACCAGTGATGGCAGTGTTCTCCACCAGGTTCAGGCGCTCAATCTCCTCGGTGATACCGCGGAAGATGAGGGCACGGGCCGGGTCACCCATCCAAGTGTTGAACTGACGGTAAGGCTTGTTGGGGCGCAGAGCGGGGTTTCCGTAGTAGTATCCGGCAGTTTGGGCCTTCTTGGAGAAAGTCACAATATCGGGGGGAGTCGTCAGGTTCCAGTGGTCATGGGCCCAGAACTTTCCAGTAGCGCCCACACCGGTCTGCACCTCATCAACGATGAACAGGACATTGTGGCGCTTGGTGATGTCGCGGAGACCCTGGAAGAAAGCAGGAGAGGCGTGGTTGTCACCACCCTCCGACTGGATAGGCTCAACCACAACAGCTGCCACAGGGTTGTGGAACTCCTTAATCAGGCGCTCAACCTCCTGCAAGCAGCGCTGCTCCTCCTGGGCATTCTCCGCGGCATGCTCCTCCAAGGGGTACTTGAGCGAGGGGAAGGGAGCCTGGGGCCAGTCAAAGGCAGGAATATCAAGCTTGTGAATAGGCTTGCTGCGGGTGGTAGACAGACTACCGAAGAGACGGCCGTGGAAGGCAGACTTGAAGGACATAATCGACAGCTGAGGGGAACCCGGGGACTGGTTGTTCATGGTAGTCTGCAGCTCCTCCTCGGTGAACTCCTTGTCGGCGCCACCACGCTCGCGTTGACGGTAGTACATGAAAGCCGCCTTATAAGCAGTCTCGTTGGCATCGGAACCAGCCAAGGCAGTGAAGACCTGATTGAGACCCTTGGGAGCAACCTTGAGAATGCCCGTGTTCAAGATGTCGGCCCAGTCGTGAGAGGGAAAGTTACCCAGTGCGGGTCTGTTAATCAAGGCATTGACCATCTCGGGAGACTCGGCCACTTTGCGGAGGTGAGGGTTATTGTAACCAACAGGGATGGAGGCAATCTGGGCGTAGCTGTCGCCGAGGAACGCGTTAGATGCGAATCATTACATTGGTGATAGGTTAAGGATCAAAGGAAGTATGGTAGCTTACACATCAAGGAGAAGGTTTCCGTCAGTGTCGGCAATGCTGCGGTCGATAATTAGCTACTAACTCATGACTCAAAGCGATAACCTGGAGGGGCTCAAAGGACATACTAGTTTCCAGTAGACTTGTAGTAGTCAGCCAGCATGTTCAAGCTGCGCACGTCAAAGACCTGATCCAGCTTCTGAGCAGCAGCCTTGTTGTTGGGGCCGGGAATGGCGGTGGCCAACTTGGGAGCCGTGGGCTCATCAGGGAAGAATGGCTTCTCAGCAGCCCGCAAGTGGGCAGTGGTGCTGAGGGGGCGGACTGCCGAAAGGCGAGTCGCCGTGCGAAGCTTGAGACTGGAGCGGAAGACAGCTGCCATTGTGAATATACAGGAAGATTGTTTGATGGGTGGTTTTGGTGGAAGAGTAGATTAATTATCCCTTGTGCCAGGCACAACCAGGACAAAGAAGCGGAGTGGAGAGGGATGATAACGCGATGACGACAGATAAGGGATTGAGGGGAGAATAGTAGGATAGATCGCCCAACAAGCCAAATAGTCGACAATCAGCAGACAAGATTGAAGATGAAGCTGCAATAGACAGTCAAGAAGATAATTGACACTTGGAATTAAAGAACAAAGACTCTCCTCCAAAACTTGGCGGCGCGCCTGGTTAAATAGCAGACCGCGGTGCGGAGGGAGAAGCAGCTCATGCGGAAGCTGCCCCGCGCCAGAGAGCTCTCCTCGGCGATTTGCACCAATCACCACCCCGGATATGCCCGTGCTCGGCGATCCAGCAGAGGCGCCGATAAAATGGAGACTCACAATCAGTCCTGATCACTCGACTATTAGTAGCATCGATTATCCATTTCCTCGTCATTCGGACCGATTGCTGTCCGGACTGTGTTCCCCCCCGGAACGACTTTCCCTTTGCAATAGGGCTTCACAATTGCAGCGGTGGGAAACAGCAGTGCTGAGCCCACGATGTGGAAGTTGGAGACAGCTTCCAGTTCCCCAGATCATTCTTATCGGTCGGCTTGGCAGGCAAGATAAGGAATGTTCCTTCACAATTGAAGCAAACAACGGTTTCGACGAGTATGCGGGCTTTATACTGCCATAAAGACATTATGGGCACGGGCTGCATACTCGATACAAAGCTTCGTTACCGGAGCTTATTTGGGTGGCAATTAGCGGTGACAGTTGTGCGTGGGCTTGAATGAGACCCAAAAGTCGGCCCGCATAGCGCGGAGATATCTTTTGCTGCGGTCGGGCTTGACGGGTAAGCATCCCCAAGTACATGCTCATTAATAACATTGCACCCAGATAAGCTTCTAATTGCGCTTTTGGACTGCAGAGCTTCCACCACCCAGGTTTTCCGACGTATACGACCGACCCCATTGACATGGCTTGTCGTGCACTTTCAGCTTTTCAGCTTTTCTAAACCGGAGCAACTGTTCGGCGTGTTGTTTTCAACCACGAACGTCTGCCTTTTTTTCAGCACCCCTGCGGTCACAATCAACGACCACAACACTTCCATTTCGCATCATCATTCGCACGTTCACGAGCCTCTCCGAGCAAACGACAACATCCGATCCTGATTATGAGCACTTCTTCCGCTATACCAGTGGAGGATGGCTGTTGGATGAAGAACAGCAGCTCCGGGACAGGTATAAGGTCTTGAATGTTGCTGAACTCCAAACACTCGCGGCTATAGCCGTTCGATCAGACAGCTGCATCTCTATGACGAAGTTGGCTTAAAGAAAATATAATAAAGTCTTCCGGTTGATCATGGATGATGGCAAGAAAGTGCTTGCCCGGATACCCAATCCAAATGCCGGCCCGACATTCTATACAACTGCATCCGAAGTCGCTAACCATGGAGCTTGTAAGTTCATCTTAAAACCAAGTTAACCGCAAGGGCGGCCAATTAATGCTGAATCCCAGGCCCGAGGTTTCCTTCAAATTCCCGTGCCTCGGGTCCTTCATTGGAATGCCACGTCCAAGAACGCCGTTGGCTCGGAATACATAATTATGGAAGAAGCATCTGGTACGCAGCTTGGAGTCATCTAGGATCAGCTGAATCTGGACCGAAAAGCTCTCCATCATGAGGGAGATAGTGACCATCGAGTCAAAGATGCTTGTGGTGTCGTTTTTTTCGCAATGTGAATCCGTTTACATAATAAATGTGTGTGTGAAATCTGATCGTCTCGTCAGCTTTGGTAGTATATACTTCGCGAGCGATGCAGTAGAAAGAACAATTCCGGCGCTGCTCACCAACAGCGCTTCTTGCGAACTGATAGAGAGAGTTTGCACGAGATTCAGCATTGGTCCTACCGTCGACCGAAGCTTTTGGAGGGAACGCTCATCGATGCAGATTCCGCGGGGTCTTGGTAAGCATTTCCATATCGCTGTTTCAGATTTTCTCTTGTACTGATTTCTTTGCCAGGGCGAACGCCCCAAACATCCGCGCTAAGTGTTGGTCGGCGTGAACGGGAGTGGATCAAACGGTTTGCCATCTCGAAACCATCAAGCGCAGCTACTCTCATTTCCTCAGCCCAGGAAAGACCGCAAGCACATCTGCAGCTGTTGGAGAAGTATCTCCAAGTGGCTCCTGCTCCGATGAACATTGACCCCGTTCTCACTCGCCCTACGTTGTGGCACGGAGACCTTCATTCATCGAATCTGTTTGTTGATGATGGCCGTATCACGACTGTCATCGATTGGCAAGGCTCGTGGGCCGGGCCGCTTCTTCTTCAATCTCAAACCCCCCGATCGTGGACTACCCAGGCAGCATTCTTCTTCAGCGTTCCGGCAATTTCGACGATCTGGACCCAGAGCAGCAAGCGGAGATCAAGCACAAAATCTCCAACTCGACGCTATACCAGCCCTATCTGCTGAAGACCAAAGAGCGGAACCCTCTTCTTGCCCAAGCGTTCCATCTAGACCATGGGAAGACAAGGCGTCTACCGGTCGAATTGGCCGGCAACACATGGGATGATGACATAGTCTCGATTCGTGAGACAGTCATCAACGCTGAAAGGTAGCTATCTAATCAATTCAGTCTCATCTTCCCCTTTCGGACGGTATCTGATCTTTAATCTCAGACATTGGCAGGAACTTGGCATCCAAGGCGAATGTCCCTATCACTTCACGCAAGGTAAATTACATAGCCACTCCGTCGATGCCGAGGGCTGGAATGAGGTCCAGAAGTTCTTTGACAGTATAGAAGGTCTTGTGAAACGAGATGGCTGGACATCCCCTGATACGTTCGACGCTGCCTTCGACTTCGCCTCAGAACTGCGAGAACGGGGCCTGAGGCATATGAAGGGGCAACAAAAGAGAGCGGTTGACTGACAGACTCGGTGGGCGATCAAACAGGGGGGTTTGTTTTGCTTCCCCAGGCCTACGTGGGAACGTCACTAGACTAGTATCCGACGGGATGATGGCCTTGACCACACTTCGTAGACGCTGTCCTATCGCTATTTTGAACAAGCAGTAATCTCCGGTCAGATAAGAGATGACAGTGCGTCGGGCAGAAAATAAATAGTCAGTAGTCAAGAGGAATCAGAGTTGAAAGGGAAGTTACATAACAGTGGTGTATCAGAGCACGAAACTCTGAAGAATCAAGCTAGCTGGAGGATTTAGGTAGAATATAGAAACCCCCTGGAGTACGGAGGATTAATCTATCGTATCGGAGTCCACGAGGAAGTCTAGATTGTTCTTTCCTTGACAGTCATCTACTTAAGTTTCACACGTGCATACACCCCTGCTAGTATGTGCTAGACTGCGATACCAAGACCGGGCTTTGATACAATAGGATTGTTTACTACTCGAAGTTCCTGTGACACGCGACAGTAAAGGATTGGAGGGAAGAGCGACGCGGAGGTTCAAGAAGCAGGGTTGCTAAGCGAAACACGTAAGCACAGTTGGTGCCTGCATTAGTATGCCCGCATTTAGTGAGGCCTGCATGGGTTCATGTAACTAGCCCGAAGAAGGTAGTCTACGCAATGCCGGCCCGGTCAGGCCAATCTGGCATCCAAGCTGAACTCGACTCAGAGTGGGGAGTGCGGGATCCGATTGCGGAGCTGCTCCATCGACCCACTTCTAGTACTTCGCCAGCTGCAAGTAATTTGAATAGACATCGCTCAATTTGAGATTGGGGTCGCTTCGTCACTGCGAGCGCACAATATGGGTGTTATAGATAAATTTACACACAGAATGTAGATATGAGTTCTTGTATACAGAGGAAATGAATGAATCTTGCCAGAAGTACACAGCGCTGTGCGTAGACGTGATGCGTACATGTGTTGAACACGATTACCATCGTTAAGCATTATCATCGTGATGACGAACGTCTGTTGTATGAAGACATGATAAGAATATTAATCGAATCGAAGGAAGAACTAGAAGAAGTTCTTATCGTCAGTCGTCGATCGTTCGATGTTCGAGTCTAAGTCTCGAGTAAGGGAGGCAGTAGATTTGTCGCTACCAGGCGACGTGTAGACCACACCGTGGTTCTTCAATTCCACATGATGTGTAGGTGTTGCAACCCGCATATGGTTCGAGATTGACGAGGGCTGATTGCTGTAGGCATGCCCGGGCTTCTTGATCTCAGACCATGTCTCCATCTCCACCGTGCGCAGAACCTCAAACCGATCGACATTGGTGTCGCCCTGATAGCCATATTGCCGATCTTCAATTCTTGATTCTTTGGTAGGCCCACTCGAGGACCATCCCTTTCGTGGAAGGCTCTTGGGGTCATAAGACGAGGCATAGCGGCGACTGGACTGGAGAAGACGGGGCAGAAAGAAGGTGACAAGGGGCCTCAACGCAGGAGCAGAAGCGCAGATCTAAAACGGGTCAGACGAAATTGAATCAGTCACGAGGAGGTGATAACATACCAAGCCCATGCTGATCTCTATTGAAGCAGCGAGAAGGACAGGCCAGCCCACCCAAGTAGTATCATATGAAGCCACCATGCTCTTCCAAACGTAGACTGTCCGGATGGAGCCAGCAACATTAACCACGATTCCCAATCCAAAGATGGAGATAACAGCAACTCGCTGTCGAGTAGGCATCTTCAGACTCCAGATCAATGGCATTGGGAGCACAGTGGTGAGGAAATCAGTGAAAATGTTCACGACACTGGCTGAGAACACAGCAGCACCGTCGTTGAGGCAATGGAAGGGGTATGTGGGTGCCACATCCCAGTATGCACGTATTGGCCTAATCTATCAGTACGAAGTCACGATAAGATGCGCTTGTGATCAGAGCGTTTTGGAAGGGAAACTCACGAGCATTGGAAGATGGAGATGAAGAGAAACAGAAGACAGCATATTGCCACGATGACCATGCCGATGATCAGCACAATGTTGTAAGAGGAATATAAACCTTTGCTCCCGGCTCCAAGCAAACGCTTGCAGAACCACAACAAAGAAAGCTTTGTGATACTGGACGACAAGGAGAAAAGCATTTGGAACGCGAGGTTGAGCTTGTTGACAGCTGGCAACCAAGAGGGTGGAATATCCCAGAGGTGCCGAGTCCAACCGTAGTTTTCAGTTGCTATAGATGTTACAGCGCACATTCCAATTGCGAAAGCCTGGCGCACAATTGTTAGCGACTAGGTATTGGGAGTTCTGCAACCTAGTACTCACGAGGGCCCAAATGATGAGGATATCATCGAAACCAAAAGTGCACGTTATTCTCAGACGCGTATAGAGGCGGAGGCAGGTCACAATAAATGCGACGCTAAGGAGGACAACGCTGACGATAAGCACATAATTTCCACGAGTCACAGGGTCGACATAATTAGGCGTGGGCCATGTCGCCAGGACACTGGCGGGTGGGATTCGCATGTTAAGACGAGGTGATTCGGATGATGGTTCGAGTAGGATTCAGTTGCTGAATTGCTTTGATGGAGCGAAGGGTTGTTCAAGCACGCGGTCGTTCAGTTGGAATTCAAGCATAACCACCAGCAACCCCGGACATATAGTTGCTGATCACATTGGCCATAATCACGATCTGAAATCACTATAAAGGTAACGTGGTGCGAAAAATTATCGCAATGGCGGACTGAGTACAAGTCACTGACGCCACTTGCTGGTTGACAGCTTTGATGAGGGGGGCGACGGGGGATATAATATAGCCAGGAATGAGGTACCCACTCCCAGCGCCTGAACTGCCGTCGATTCAGGTCCTGGTCCCTGTCTCCAACCTTGAATTGCCCGTAGCCAGCCTACCTTGACATTTTGACTTTGGCTGGGGCAACCAATTTCAGATCGACCCCAGAAGAGCTAAGAAACAAGTCAAGGTCCTCCAATGAGGCCAGTGGGTCTGACTCCACAATGGGGTAGTATCGACCAGACAATGGCGAGGAGGGGGACCACTGGGAGAGAGAATCGCCGGGGGTTTCACCGGGTGCACAGGACAGCAACAGGCAGATCCGTTGAACCGTCGTTCACATTCTGCTCCACATGCCGGCGGAATCGATCTAATGCTTGTAGCGAGTGAGCCATTAATCACCGGCCCAAGTCTAGATGGTCAGCTTGAACCAGGGTGCCAAAGTCTATTCACCCATAGGTCAAGAACAGACCTGAAATTTGCGGGTTTGCGGGCAGAGAATCATTTGCTGGCAGTTCAAAGCGGTTCTCCAACGAGAATCCGTCAATCTCCAACCAGAGTACTTTTGAAAATATGGTCGAGGTCAATTCTGGGAGACAACCTGGTGGATGTGAATTCCGACGTGATGGTGGAGATGGAGGAGGAAGGGAAGGAATAGTGCTCCACAATCCATAATCCACATTGAAGATGAGCTCGTGGTGTCTCCTCATTTAAGCGGGAATTAGTGGAAGTTTGCGACTTCGGGAGGGAGGGAGAATGGCCAAGTCTGGTGGCGCTCGAGACAGATTCCGGATGGGGAAAGGGTTGCCCCGCGGCATGCATACAACAATCTCCTCGGTGCAGTACAGTGCAATCGCCAATTCCACCAAGCAGGTGAAACGCTACTGCAAACTACGGGGTGCATTCCGTAGGTACTGGTAGTCTTGGTATGACTTAAGGTCCAGTACTTCACTACTACCCGGTCATACTATACCCAGTCATACTACCGAGTACTCACTATACACGTGCTTCCTGCTGCTGACGTTGCATCTGCCATCGGCAATTGTGCTGCCATCCTCATGGCATGCACTTGCTCGTTCCTGCATCCTGCATCCACCATGCAGAAAGAACTTTATCATCCCATTGAATCTGTCAAGTCTACTCCCCACAAAACATGGTTCTCATTCAAGCTGAGAGAAGATCGCTTCCCCTGAGATTGCCAATCAAATAGTACGAAAGAAGACTTCGAAACTCGACTTGGCACGAACGCAACACTGATCCTTCTACAACAAAGGTCAAACATATACTACCTGAGTACTATGAGTAGATACTCGCCGACAAACGCAGCAACAGTCCAAGCCCCCCATCAGATCCACCCTGCCTGAAGGGGCTAAAGATGGGATTCTAAACCGGGTTACCGATCAGAGCACGAGTGGAGCGCTTTACTCCATCAGATACTCGGCTGTGACAATCATGGGCCGCAGCCTGCTTTAAAGTTTTTAGCCTCAATGATTATCTAGACTTGCGAAATAGTGCGAACCCCAAAATTCTGGAGATCTGGCCCTGCCGGCACAGCTGGCAGTCTTACTACTCGGTCGCAATGACAAGTCCTTGACATTAGCTATGACAGAACTGTCTCTTAATCCCTTCCCTGAATTTGGTCAAATGGGAGCCTTCATCGGCCCTGCAGTCGTCCGGCAATCTTTGACAGAGAGTGCCACAGCCACCGGGATAAGCTTTGTCGAACCATCGGGAACAGTCGAACCATGGACGTCACGCCACACTCTTGTAGGCTGGATGCTTCAATCGCAGGCTGGTACATTGCCTACAAGGTGGAAGAGTACCCGTCCGCTCATCCGGAGAGGATACAGTTTCCGATTACCAGCCGCTGGCACTGGCGAACGGTTTGGGCGGATGTCCTAGCAGTGCTTGCGATAACCCTGCCTGACTCTATGCGTGTCCGCTACGCTCACAGAGACGACTGAATACTCTTGTGCATTGTCTGTTTGTAGTGACCCTTGAAAAGGGCTATTTTTGTCTTCGGAGGCATCAACTACTTCAGAAACACGAGAGCTAGCTTCAAACCTCGGTTTCAGGATGAGTGCACGTTGTTTGATTGCCAACCCAGGCGTGACACCATACTGTAGGTGTATCAGCACGGCGCCGATCAGCTTGCATTCTGCACTGGTGGTCGAATATGCAAATTTCGACAGACAGATCCTCTGCCACGGTAGGTTCATTGTGGCACCAGCTCCTATGCCCCTACTCGACCACCTATATCAGCATCAGGCTGCCTTCTCGCCAAACAGTTGGAGTCATGGACAATCAAGTGCCAAATTTGACTCGATGGAAGTACTCCCAAGCTGCAGCACCAGATTCTGATTATTCAGTCTTTCCGTTTCCGGCAAGAGTTCGCCCTGCGGGTGGGGCTTGCTGCTGCCCGGTCGATCACCCATTCAACATTCTTCTCAATGGGGTTTCCTCGGCTCTGGCTCGTGGATGGCGATCTCTTGCCACTACGAGTACGACAAATACCTCTCTGTACATGTATGTGTACGAGTAGAATGAAGGATCTATTCTCAAACTTGGGTCGAATCCAACGGTATACCGTTCTCGGTCCCTAACCTTAACCACCCTCGTGGAACCGGGCTAGATCATGACGTCGGAAAAGCAAGAGCGCAGTCTCCAAGAAGGATATACCGGCATTGCTCGGATTAGCATACGACTTTATATATATATATATATATTATTGATCTTTCAGATCAGCCTTTACAGCAATTTCGGATGGAGTACCACGGAATTGCTTTTGTTGACCACAGCTTCAACTGGTGACACTTTTTTTTCTCCTTGACAGAAGTTGGAAAATGGCTCATCCTACTGTCACTAACAATGAATGAAAGCTGATTATCGAAAGCAAGGGTTGACCCCCATGACCTTTGCACCATTGGAGGTGATCATGATGGATTGGTGGCTCTTCGACCAGCTTCCTCCTGATCAATAGGCTTGGACAGTGGACTATACTCCAGCATGGATTCATAGTCCGGGATTTTTCGCGCCCAACCGCCAAACATCCCTGGCTCGTCATATGATCCGAATCACTTCACAGAAGGAATTCGCCCTTCGTTTTCGCAACCTGCTCATCATAGTAAGGTTGAAAAGCCAACCATCCTTTCTCCGGCCCCCCAACCTGCAAGGCCGCATAAGAAGCCTCTTCTTCGTCGATAATGATCTTCTTGTACCCCGCTGCGGATGCCGCATCGGCCAGGAGTTGAGCCTGGCAGGTTTTGTCCAGACTGATAAACCAAAATGCCGCTTCGTCGACACTCTCCCCCACCGTCAGCAGGCCATGATTCTGCAGAATCACCGCTTTCCCCCCACTTAAAGCGGCGACAATCCGCTGTCCTTCCTCCCGGTCTAGGACCACACCTTTGAAGTCCCGGTAGACGCCATGGCTCTTGTAGAATCGCAGTGCGTCCTGCGTGATCATCTCCAGCTCGCGGCCAAAGCACGAAAAGGCCTTGCCCGCGACGCTGTGGGCATGGCACGCGGCGTTCACATCCGGTCGGGCTTTGTGGATCTCCGAGTGAATGGCGAACGCGGGGGCGTTGATGGGCTCATCGCCTTCGACGACCAAGCCATCCTCGTCCACCAGGATCAGGTCGGAGACTTTGATGAGAGAGAAGTGTGCGGAGAGGGGGTTGATCCCTGCGGCGAGGTCCGGACACGTTAACGGTCTAAGACACATCCACACAAACTAAACCTCAAGCCGGGGGAAGTGGCCCTCAAAGCTTACAGAAATGATCGGTGAGAATAGGATCACGGACGGAGATGTGGCCCGCCACACCCTCGTCGAAGCCACGATCCGCAAAGAGGCGAAACGCCGCTGCCAGGTGCTGCTTCCGGTATACTCGCTCGTCCTCCAGGCTCTGGAACGTGGGATATCGGCGCACTTTCAGGTCCCTGCCATCCTTGGTCTTACCGAGGACCTGTAGCTGCGGTGGAATGTCGGATCTCTTGCCGATTTTGTTCGCCTCGGGTTTAGGGTCCGATGCAGTCACCGATGGAGCCATGATTCGATCGTAGATAGAGTGTAGTTTGAAGACTGTGATATCCAACAAATCCAGTGAGTTGAAGGGATACCCTCACGACAGTGGAAGATAACAATAAACTCGAGCTCGATCCTGGAGAGACTCGGACACACATATACTCAACTTGTTCCTCCCTCGGTAAGAGTCGCTTCAGATCGAACTAGTTACCCCGCAATCCGTCGACATTTCCACGCTTGGACTCTGGCTTTTCCGGTCCTCGATAGCACCCTGGGGGGCAAAGGATCAGCACCGTCAATCGACGCTTCTCGGTGGAATGAACGCCGATGCAGACGCACACATACAGCGCGCCCCCCCCCCCTTCTCCCCTCACACACACACTCTCTCTTTCTCTCACATCGCAAGTCATACGTAACTATATTCAACCTGAAGGGACCCGCCCTATCCAGCCAACCATGCTCAACGATATACTGAGTGAGACCCAAGTCCAGCAAGTTACCCAGCCATACGGAAAGGGGAAAACCACCAAGAAAGCCCATTCCATCATCGTGAGGGGGCAAGATATCCGCTCCTGGCCCAATTTTATAGTTTAGTGGAAAAGGGTGTTGTGCTCACGCTCGGGGTCTGTTGGATCTTGATGGGCAAGGGCAAGGGCAAGAAGGGGCGATAGGGTAAGGTTACGGTGTCTAGATGAAGCGGGCCGCCTCCAGTTGTCGATGCAGGGGGTTCAGCCGTGGGTGTGTTCAGTCAGTCGGAGTCCTGGTTTGTCATACTCTGTTGTTCCGGTGAGATTGCCATGGTTTGGATGGTTGGTACCGTTATTATCAGTGACTGGTAGTTGTGGAGGGGAAGACAAAGGAACCCCAACGGATTTGAACGTGTAAGGGACTTCTGGGTTGATGATGGATGATGATGGATGATGATGGGGGGGCGACAGGTGGAGGGTAGACGCGGGGGGGTGGGAGGTGGATGGCAGTGGAATCTGTTCTACAGCTTTACTTGCCTGGTATATATGCGCATAATATCAAACTTCCCCATCCGGGCTGTATGAGGTCGGTCCCAGGGTGCAGCGCATGGGCCAGAGAGCGATGGGAGCCCTGGACCCTGGGGTGGGAAACTGTGGGCCATAAGAACTGCGCTACTGTATCTGTATGTCATATCTGATGGATGGACAGGGTCGGTGGGGATATATTCGAGTACCAAGACTTGGACTCCACCCACACGTACGGGATAGGATGATAGTGCACAGTGCACAGATCCACCCTTTCCATCAGGGTGTACTGAGTCGGATGAGTGAACAGTTCCCAAGAGAGAGAGAGAGTGTGTGTGATCGACTCAGCCAGTATGCAGACCAATTGATCCAGACCCAGATATGTGAACTGAGAGTATATTTGACCCCATTTTATGCCTAAATCCACCATCTACACGTATAGACGAACCGATACAACTCTTAAGCCCGAGTATGGAAACAAAATAAACCCGAAGACAAGCCAATCCATACAGACATCTAACCCGTCCATCCATCATTTATAAGGCAACCCTTGCCCAACAACAATTAACACCAGACTCGCATGCTCGAAAAAACGAAGACGCCCGATCCCAGATTTTTGGTCCCCTCTCATTGCAGTGACGGATGCACATTTATCCCCCCAAACTTCAAACTCTTCTATCATAATCCTGCACGGCTCACGACAACTCTCAAACCGACGTCTGCTTGCTGCTCATACTTCCGACCATGGTCGTCGTCTCCGACCCTGCTGGGTCTGTGTTTGCGACGACTTTCGACCGCAGGGCGGCGCGGATCTCGTCGACGGAGCGTTCCTTCCACTCGTTGTAGCCGGAGGTGCTCAGAGGAAAGAGCACAAAGTTATCCTCACGGACACCAAACTCGTCCAACTTGGGCGGGGGCATGGCGGAGATGATGTCGAGCTCGTTGGCGAGTTGACGGCAGTAAGTCTCCAGGGGCAGATCATTGACGTCGTGTCCGAAGGGGTTCTCGATTTCGCTGCCGATGAAGGCAAGGCCGAGGATGATGTATGCGGCGACTAAAGTTGTGAGTCAGTAGAGTTTTCGATGTAGGCGAAATAGCATCAGTACACACCAATAGAGCCGGGAATGGTGATCCAGCCCAGGTAGTTGTACATCTGGAAGGGAAGGACCATGACATAGATCCAGGAGATCTGGGCGATAGAGATGGTGTATGCGGCGGGAAGAGGGGTATCGAGGACACGCTCCGTTCCAGTAAGACATTCGTTCAAGCTGGAGATACCGTTGACTTGCAGGGCATTAGCATGAAAGCATAAAATCACGAAAATGGCGGGAAAGCGTACTGGCTTGACTTTGGTGAAGACCGCAGGTCAAGGTTCCGTTGCCAATGCAGCGGTCGATGTAGGCGGACAGGTGGTTCAGGATCTCCAGCGGCAGGTGTCCCAAAGGCTTCTTGGACCGCTTGATGAGCTTGCGTGGGTTGGACTCTGCAAACGAAACTCCCAGGGATTCACCGATCTCCTTCCAAACAGACTTCTTCGGCGGCTGCAGGACTTGACGGTCGTGTGCCTCTTTGGCGAAGGTGTCGAGGTGACCAATCAGGCCTGCCAGATCCTCGTAGCCGACATCAGGCTCGAAACGCAGCTTGTGTTTGAGGGCGACGGCAAAGGCGAGGATGAGGTTGAAGGCCGTCCTACTGATGTCAGCATATGCATTCTTGACTTCTGCTCCGGGCAGCCTACAGCTTCGCCAGCAAATCCTCTTTTCCGAGTTCTCCCTCGCGCTCAGCTGTGTTTACCCAGATTGTCCGTGCGAGGTTGCGGGAGGTCTGGATCAGCAGTGCCCAGTATTTGCGTCCGTCTGCCCATCTGCCATGCTGTTAGACCTGAACTGTTTGAACCGAGATCCAATTGGCCACAACTTACCTCTCATAGGCGGTAGAACTGCGGAACGAAAGCGCCAAACTGACCACGAAACCGGTGATTGTGAGCAGAATACTATTGATGCCAACTAATCACCCAACTATTAGAGACGCTCTTTCGGCACATTGACGGGGCGAACTCACGAGAATGTACGAAGCGGGAGATGCAGGTGATAGCAGTAGCCCAGAGGGCAACCAAAAACAGGGGGAGAATCATTTTGGGCATGATACTGCCGTGCATCCGGAAGGCGAGGGGCCATTTGGAGTGTCTGTCGAGATCACGGGGGCCATGCTATACACTGCAGTCAGCTTCCCAGCTTCCCACGGGTCAGAGGTAGTCCATCACTGCATCGATGACATACAAAATATCGGTTAAGTTCACTCGAATTGCGTCGGTCAAGCATAAATTGTCTGTCGCGGGAATTGGCGAGATTTTCCAGGAAGCTGGGGCGTGGCGTCAAGCGGCCGGGCCGGAATGTTTTCTCTTGTACATTGGCGGAGGGTTCATTCTTCGCAGTTTGGATCGGCGCGACAGGAGGCTGCTCCTGGTGTCCTGCTTCTTCCGACATGGTTGCTGGAGGTGATGCACGATAGTGTGTAGTAGAGGATAATGGGAGGAACAAAGACGGTGAATAGTAGGAATTATACGGCTCGCACACAAAGGACCTGCCTTGGGAGACGAACGACGAACTGGCTCCACAGAGAAACCGAAATTAGGAGACTAGTTAAGTAGTTGAATTGACTATGGGAATTTATAGCGAGGGATGGAGTAAGGATACCACTCCGAAAATTGACGAAGTTAGGAGTGAGAAGGAGGAAGATTTGGAAACGAACTCTGGGGAGGGGGGGGGTTTGGAGCTGAATCGACGCTTAATATGAGTTGAGGAACTACTAAAATTAAGCGTTGGTCACACATTGGCTCTAGTCTGGAGCAAAGAAAAAAAAATCATAGGAAGAAACAAACGCAAATAGGGTGTATTCTGGACCATGGGCGAGAAGAAGTGTCAGTCAGTCAAGTACGTGTACGACTTGCGTACTCGTACAATACGGGGACTGTACCGCGTATCCTGTCTCCTCTTTTTTTGCCTGTACAGCCACTGCCGATGCAGATAAACAAAGGTCAATGGAAGAAGTTCCCACAGACCTCAAGAGAAGTCCGTAACAACAGTTGGAACGGGGCGGGGCAATGGCGAGGGCGATCGGCATCTGGCCGGAGGTACTGTGTAGAATTGGTGGCCATTGGGGGATTTGCCAGTTGGCTCGCCCACGCCACGCGGGCCAAAACGTCACATCCGTTCACAGGTTCAGAACGGCTACTGCCGCCCCATCGCGCTGCTCGGTGTGATTTGTTGATTTGTTGGTTGTCAAAAGGCCAGACCGTCGGGTTTTTGAAACACTGGCTCACTGGCGGGCTGGCCAGTTGAATTCTTCTGCTTCCCGTCCCCTGCGCCTCCTTCATCCGTCCTGTCACTATTCTCATTTGTACACCTAGTAATTCCAGGAACTCCTGTGCCATGAAATTAGATATTCACAGGAACCCAAGTGCTCTATCTCATATTTCCACCATCTTCAGCCCTTTGGAAAGGCAATCATCGGGAGTGGCGGCACAAACAACCCGAACCCGCAGCCATGGCTTGAAGTTTGCTGGGTTGGCTGTCATCCCTCCATTCCTGCATGCAGGGGCAAGCCTCGTAATATTTCCCCGAAAATGAAAATAGGTTCCCTCCAGCCCATACCTACAGGAAGACAATGAAACCGAGCTGCATCGGTCCAATAATAACAAGCCCTTGGCAATAACTTCGATACGGTGTACTCCGAGAGTCGAGTCCGGGACCCTTAAAAATAGTAGCATCTAGCGTTCATGGGGAATTGGCTCGGAGGCCGACCAATGCGTTGACTGTATGTAACCAGGTAGTCTAGTACTGATTTCTGCTGCATTTCAAGGGTTCCGTCTGTCTGGTACTATTGCATCTTGGAAGACCTGAAAGAAAGTCTACTCCGTACCACACCTTAACTCTGAACGAGAAAGTTTGAGGCGAGATAATGACAGATCAAACCAACTATCCTCGCATTCCCACATCAAACATCCGTTTCATCATCCCGTAAGCCTGCATGAAGTGGCTTGCGCCGTTCTCGTTGGTAAGCCCATGCCCATGCCCATGCCCATGCCCATGCCATGCTTCGGGCGTCAGTCACTTACAGTACATCAACCCCTGATTTTCCCTCCCCCCTCCTCTTTTTCTTAGGCACTCCTTGCCAAGTCTCCCTGAATAGTTTAATTAACTTACCACACACACACACACAACACACACACCCTGCAAATATGACAGTCACGTTGTGCTGTTTTGTTTCATGTTTTGAGGTCTCGATTCGATAGTTAGGGTGTATTTATCAGCTCTTTGACCTTTCTTCCAGGGACTGCAATGTTTGTGAAATGGGCGTGCTGGCTGTGAAGACTGTATTATAACTGAGGTGGATCATGGTAGCAGCTTCCTTCAGAAGGGGGAATCGTGCGGGTGGACGGAGTACGGAGTATTGGTGTTCGCAAGGCTGATCAAGATACTTGATTCCGAGATAAACCTGGAAAGCGAGCATTGCGAAGTCACTTACTGTTAGAAGGTGTTGACGCAACATGTCGCAGGTTGAGGGGGCGAATAAGGCCAGCGGTCAACTCAGCTGGGGGGGATGGACAAAGCACCGGGTTGCACTGACTCTCGCCTATGGGCTGTGCGCAGTCAATGCAGGGGACGGGGTATCTTGCTGCATCTTCGGAGTATTATCAGCTGCGGGATAAGATTCATTAGTCATGGCTTGAAGCAAAGGCTCGTAGCTCACAGTAAGTGTATATATTTACAGTCGTGTGGTTGTAGTGAGTCTTGTACAGCGAAAGTAAACCCTATCAATTGAAGGCTGGTGGGATATTCGTCTATCTTACAAGCTAGTCATACAGGTATAGAAGATTAGAGGATATGCTGGGGTTCATCTTGAGCTTGGAGAGGAAAGGAAGCAGTAGATACAGGCTGTCTACGGAGTAAGCCTTGTGCCGGCGTCTACAATCGCACCATATTTCTCTCTCTCCTGAGCAACTGTCGGAGCAATTGAGCTATATACACCTCGGCTCGAGTCGATTCCTCCAAGACAAACTGCTCCTCAACAAATCTACCAAACGTCCACCACAACCCTTTGCCTATTGTTACATAGAGCCGAGTACGTCCGGCAAAAGAAGGGCTGTTGCATGGTTATCACCAGTTCACCCACCACGCAACCATTCAATATCCATACGCTAGGCATCGTGCCGGAACCGCTGTGTGTATGGGACCCAGGCAAACCCCAGAGATGGTCGGGTAGCTGGTGTAGAACACGGATGAAGCTCCAGTAAACGGAATGACCGCGGCCTCAGTCGCCGAGCACGCTTCTGTAGCATCTGGGCAGGTAACGCATAACATGCGCAGTCCAGCATCGAGTCGATGGTTCAGACCTCTCCTCAGATGAACAGCCCAATTAATTCAAAAAAAAAAAAGCTATACCGATTCCAGGCACTCACGGAACGAACATCTCTGCGCCAGAACCATTCACCAGCGCCTGGAGAAAGTTTCCCTTGGCACAAACCCGCCAGGCAACATTGCCAGCACCATTCGCATCGCCCGACGAACTGCTACCCCCGACCCACGAACTCAACGCTGCGACGACGGCTGATGCATCCGGTGCGGGGACTCGAATCCAGATGGTCTTGGCATTTGTGCCCGTGGAAGGTTCGATCTTCAATATATCAATCGAAATGGCCGTGCCGGAAAGCCCGAGGAATTGGTTGAGTGCGGCGGAGAGGTAGGTGCGCGCTGTGAGAGGGTCGAGTGGTTGGGTGAGGGTTGACTGTGAGACGGGGGGCTGGTGGGTTCTGTGATACAATCAATGAATGAAGTTCAGAAACTGAAAGAGAGAGCAGAAAGAAACATACAGTTGGAGTTTGAGGTAGGTCCAGAGGGGATTGCGCGTAGTGAATGTCAAGGTTGGTGTGGAGGAGGTTTGCTCGGTCGGGGCTTTGCGCTTCGCGCTCTCTGGTTCTGCTGGGTGAGATTGTGACGTGGTGGACATTTCGACTGATGTTGAGAATGATCCTGGGATTAAGCTAATTATAAGAATAACTCTGGTTTCCTTTTCGTGGAAAGTAGGTTCGGTAGAGACTGTTGAACAGCGGTACAATCGGAGGATAAAAAAAAGTCGGGGAGTTTCCCGCCCTCCGTGATGTCACGGGCGCGACCGCCGTTCCCGCTATGTGTCTGGCAGCAGCTATCGGTCGCAGATAATCCAATCACCAGACTTGAAGAGCAATCAGATTAATGCCTTTCTCAACCTCTCATGCGCCTGTTGAATGAAATCGGCTTCGGACTGGGATCCGATCTCCAGATTAGCGATGCTGAGGATCTTATCGCGCGACTTGAGCCCACGGATTACTTCCACGTCTGACTTGGGCACTTTGAACGCCTGAGCTTGTTAGTTAGTATGAGCTAGATCAAGTACGGTACTGTACTATGCTACGAGGGACCACAAAAACAGGGAAATAGAAGAATCCAAAGGGGCAATTACTTGTGCGACAATGCGAGATGCAGCTGCATTTGCCTCGCCGTTCCGGGGCACTGCGGCGACGCATACAGAAACCCGGTCTGCACTTATGTTGACAATGCCTTCCCGGTTGTTGGAAGCGTTCGGCTTCACATTGCAGGTTATCTGAAGACTGTACCGCCTGGGTAGTTGAGATGCGACACGGGACTTCGGGCTTACGGCCGGAATCAGACGGAGGATTGGGGGAGTAGTCATATTTGAGGTGAAATGATCGATTAACTTCTGGAGAAACGAATCAGACAGAGACATAAGACAGCAATTCTTAAGCGCAGTATAGTAAGTACACTTGAACACTGGAAGTGCTGATGTTGTTTTGACTGATTAATGCAGTGGGAGGGAAGAAAGCACTAAGTATGGGGAATTTGTCTTGGCTCATCCTGTTATTGGTTGCTGTATACTTCTAGTCCGACTACAGTGCACGAGTCAATATCAGGTTCTCAAGACCACACACTATTCTTACTACAACTCCTTGGCCGCTAAGTAGTCCTTCTCTAACAAGTTTACTGTAAAATCATCATGAAAGCAAGTCCAAAGTTGTGGAAGGTAACAGTCGATGAAGTAACTGGTGTTACTCTGGTGTGTTGATGACACCACACGCTAGAAAGAAATAAGATTTAGTTATCGTTGAGCTATGTGCAATAACAAAAGAAGCTTATCATGTTAACAGTAATAAAGATAATTATCAAAGAAGGGGGATACACAGCTTTGAGGTGCTCGGCCTCCTCCGGGTTGTTCTTGTCACAACTAATTGGGAGCACATTTGGAATCTCCTAAAGCAGCCCAACCGCCTACTACAGATTAGCTAGGTTCTCAAACTTTGATAAGATCTACTCCAAAGTTCTAAAGCACAAGAGGGTGGGATAACCTCCGAATACAGTGGCAATTCCCAGCCACTCGATTTCATAAGGTGGGTCCTCGGGACAAAGAAAGACCTCTAGTACACAGTACAAACTGCAAAGCTCATTGTCTGAAGCTTTCCCCGGCTTTCTTTGTGTCTGGATCCACATGCGGGTCCATAGAGGAAGAATAGAATCATCTGATAGATATAGCTATTGTCAAGACTCTCACAAGCCTATTTGCCCGCTCCGAGTAAGACCTAGGAGTTCTCACAGGGCTTCACTTGGTCACAATGTGTGCGTGGCTGGGCTTTCGAAAGAGGTTGACACCTCACGGCTACCGCCCGTTGCTCTGGTTTCGCGGCAGAAGAAAGTTGTATACTTGTCTTTCTGTATAATAGCTCTCATAGCAATACACCCTTGTCCAAGCCAGCATCTTAGTGAACGTGCAATTCATACATTGTCCAGCAGTACATTGACTGTTAATGATTTTGCGAGCAATGATATCGCATTCTCAAGAGACTCCGAGTGAAGCGAGCGCATTTCGCGAGTAGGCTACAGAGCCCTATTCACATACATTTCCATAGAGACTTCTGAAACATCTACCTCAATTGAAGCCCCAAGTCCCAGCCTCCCATAAACGAGTCACCGACAGACGAGGTGTTCCAACACAGAATTTCTATCTTCATCCTTTTCTGCTCTCTACTCTCAACAATTCTCGACCAAGACTGTCTTCGTATCTCACATCAACCTCCGTTCTCATGAAAGCCCTCAACTTCATTTGGCCTCGAATTAGCTCCGCTTTCTCATAAATTCTCACCTTCTTGTTCTTGTCTTGGCTCGAGCATCCACTCTATCGAAAATCCCTCACAGGGTTGAGCAGCTTGTGCTGAGATCCTAGTAGCTCTCTCGTCAGAATGAATGTGGCACTGGGATTGAGCCAGACGTTCAACGTCAAGGGTAACAACTCAACCACCCGAGGTATGCCCATGACCCTGCGGACCAACCAGATGTTCAGCGTCCAGGGAATCAACCAACCCAACGAAGGTATGACCATGGCTCTACAGGCAAGGCTGGCCGCTGACGACAATAGGAACACCAGCATCACAGATTGCTTGCGGAGATGCAAGCTCCGTGCCAGAACACACCCTTGCTGAGCAAGAGGATTGGTCATGGGACAATCTCCCCGACATCTTGTATCAACTCCATCCCGTCGGGTCCAAGAGCAAGGCCAAGATAGGGAAGAAAGCATATCCGATCAACGGAAAGTACTTGAGAGATATTCCTGTGCTGCCTGACCAAATTCCCACGGATGTTGAGGAGTTTCGGGTGGAGGCTTGGGTCCGATTGGACCGCCGCATTCGACTTGAGGACATCCTCGACAGAATGCCCAAGGGCCACACTGTTAAGCCCAATGCCCTCCAGCAAAGAGGCGTCCGATTTCGTCAAGCGTTCTCCCTGTGTGCCTGGGACTCCGGAAACAAGAAGAGCATTGCTCTGGGTAATGAAATCGAGGAGAAGTTGAGAGCCGCAGGCATCCGCCTCGCCCTGAATACCACTCGTGGCCTTACTCCCGGCTTGATCAACCCAGTCCTAGGAGAAGCTGGCGGCAGAATTCCCCTTCCAGCATTGTACCAGGGTAAGAAGCTGGCAAAGAAAATCTCCAAACACTCGCAAAAGAACAAATCGGACGTCCATAGGGCTGAAATTCCAGTCTCGACATCTGCCAACAAGCAAGCTCCTGAGCTTGTTGTGAAGGAGCGTGCATGGATCGGTGAGTTTAGCCAGGCCCTGTGTCGATTTCGTGCCTTGACTGCAGGTGTGTCTCGGGTCACATTGGTGGCGTTGAGCTAACGACCCTTGTCTTTCTCTTAGAGCCTTTATGCCATCCGTATGATACCGAGTTAGATATCAAAGATGAGTTTCAGTGGGCTCAGACGGATGACTACTTCGCCTCTTTTGGAATGCCGCTCTTTGAGGAAGAGAAGATCGCGCTTCGCGCCAGATGGGCACCACTTTCAGAGGGCACTGAATTGACTGCAGATGCGCAGGTGTCAAGCATCGTCGACATCGAGGACTGGACATGGGGGTTCCACTCGTTTGACTTGGAGTCCAAGTTTGACTTCGAGTCCAAGTTTGACTTCGAGTCAAAGGCTCAGCCTACAGATAGCCTCTTTGACAAGATCATGCAGGACTATCACGACCGTGAGCCGTGGCGCCTGAGTACATTGTACCAGAAAATGGGCGATGAAGAGTTTGACATTTGATGTCAGCCTTGATGGTCGGAAAGGGCGCAAGCAACCTCTTCAGTTTCTGGGAATCCGAGAACTGTTAGTTAAACAAAGTGCCCCTTCGCTTCATATCGCTGACTTGACTCTTCATAGCAGATCGGCAGGTCGATTTATCTCGCCATCCACCTTTCCATTCTGACTCTGCCTTTTGTTTTCTGTCTCCGGTGTTCGGTATGTTCGCTCTTTTCTGTTTGCGCTCAATTGGCCGTTGGCCTTTTGGTCATGATCCGTGCTCTGACGCTTCTGCCTCTTCAGCCCTTCAGCCTTCTGCTTTCGATAAAAATCAAAAAGATGATGAAGTAACAGGCGGGAAAGTCGGAACCGGTTCGAAGGAAGGAAATTGATCGAAACTGGATTGAGGAGATGAAGTTGTCATGAGACTTCGGAGGAGATGAGGAAAGAGGAGAAGTGTGTAATCACCCAAGAGTTGTCTCATGATAGCTTCTTTCTTCATAATGAAAAACAGTCTTTATGGCTGAGGTGACCTGGACATCTTCGTAGTTTACCAATAGTGTGGTTCACTCCGAGCTTCCAATATCTTCTCTGCTTTTGACTTCTTGTTCCTTCGCGTGAATATTGCCAGGAGGTTGCGACTCACGAAGATGGTAGTTTGAAAAGATGATCATGGTGCCTTGCGTGAACATTAGGGGAAGCATGTCACGAAAACCGAAATGAGCCGGAATACTAATTCTGAGTATATACCAGGCTTCAATAGACGTTAAGAAATGCAGTGAGGTTATCGCGAAGATAGATATTCATGTAGAACTACGGCTAGTGGATGCGTAGCTGTCGATCGGTCGAGGAGGGAGTCGCAAGCGATAGACCAAGCTAGGGGGTCATCGAGTTTTTACAACAGAATTTTGTCCTTTGCGCATACCGTAGAGATATACAAGCATGCTTGCCACGATCACAGGAGATTGAACCACGCTTGGTACTCTGCCCGCCATACCCATATACTTCATGGCTCGATGCAGACCATATACTTGCGGAGAACTATGTAAATCCCATTAAGACTCAAAGCTCATTGAGCGTATCTGAAGCCATCCAGCACAGCCCATATAGAATTGTCCTTGCTCAGCGACCTTTCTGCATGCATGAGTTGAGATCTAGCGAGATGTGGACGGAGCTGGCATGATAAGAGGAGAGTCAAAGAAGTTCAAGATGCGGTCCGCACTTCAGTTAGATACATTAACTACTCCACATATCTTATCAGTTCAGAGTTCCGCCTTTCACACCGCTTGTTACTAGCGGCAGAACTGAAAAAGTCCCTGGATGGCGAATCAACGCGTTCCTGTCCATCTTGTTTCTTTCTTACAGTTTTCCCACTTGCCTTTCACGTATACCTTTTGCTCTACTAACGTCCCAGGTAACTTTCAATCCCTGGTGTACTCCGTACAACCGTTTCATTCTCCTAATCACAGGGCTAAAGAACGAATAGATAGCCCTTCACCGATACGACTTCTCTAGCGGATTCTGTTGTTCCAGAACTCCTGCATTTTCCTCCTTAGCCGCCTCCACCTTTCATCTTCGTACACAACCTTAATCGCCTGACAGATATCGCCAAACCCGCTTCTACTTGTCACCAAATAGACTCTTGCCCACTTCTCACCTTCTATCACCTCTTGTAGCACCCTGCTGTTTACCAAAATCATGATACTCTTTCGCTTCGTTGGTTCTGGACAACGCGCATGAATTAGTAAGTAGCTTCTTCTCGAGTACGGTGAGGATCACGTGGCATCGAATCTAATCCTGTACCTGCAGATCACCCGAAATGGAGCCTAGCGGGGATCCCCTCGACTGGACAGTTGACGAGGTGGTACAGTTTCTGTGCCATAATCCTGACGCGCCATGGTCTCTCTCTTCCTCGGTTGTCGCGCGACCAGATCCTGTCACCTTCGAGGCCGCTCTACGGGACAATGTGATCACGGGGGAGGTGCTTCTCCATGATGTTGACATTCATTCCTTGAAAGATGACTTGGGTCTAAAAGCTCTAGGTCCCCGCAGTAGCATGCATAGTGCTGTTAGATACCTGCAGCGGAAATCTTCAAAATACCTTCAAGTTACGACGCTATCTACGACTCCCTTCAGGAATCACGTTCCCGATTATACTCGGTCTCCCACTCGGTCTGCGTTCGCAAGCCCCGCAGTTCTAGCCCATACACAAGTGCCTCGCATAGAGACTCTTCAACGAGATGTTCTTCAGACCCCCCGCGCCCCTCCCTCTTCCACATCTAATGCTTCAGTCCCAGCGGTGAAGTCACTAGAGCCTCAGGATCAGTTGCAACATTTCACTGTTGAGGATAGACACACACCAGATGACGACGGCGAAGAAGATGGCGAAGAAGACGGCGTAAGCCTCGTTGTCCAATCAAATGTTGGTGCATCATCACAGGAGTCTCACAAGCGTTCACGTCCTGGCGAGCAATTGGTTATTGACAGAGAGGGAAAGAAACGACGCAAGCTTGATCTAAACAAACTCGACGACAAGGCTGACAGTGCAATTGACAAGACTGTCGACAAATCTCCCAACCAATCTTCGAGCAGGCAATGGTACATGGGACCCAATGCGACCACGCCCTCCAAGTTGTTCTACCCTTCAAGTCCCGCGACAGAGGACGACGAGTTCTTGATCCTTGGCTCACAATGTCCCCCAGCTAGGCGCACCTTCGTCAACAAATGTCTATCTCACTTTTATCGCCAAGATCCCGTGCGGCTGGGCCCTACCAAGCAGGCTGTGATCCCCTACAATCCAATCAAAGGAGGGAAAGCAGGTCAAAGATTTTTTACTCTTTATGCCTCCAAAGGTGGCCACGTTGCAGTGAGTAAGCAAGATTTCCGGGACTGGCCACAGCTTGAGAATTCCAGGAGCTTGCATGGTCCTGAACCCCCAAAGACCTCTGACCCATATGCATGGCTTCTGGAAAAGTACCCCGCTCAAGAAGATGATCAGGATGCCTTTCCGTTGTACGGAGACTCAGGGTCTGAGGGTGACTACGACGAGGAGACTTGGCGGGAGATTGACGAGGAGTCCCGAGCCCCCGTGAATGGAAAACAAGCCAAGCTTACTCCTGATGCGGTCGAATCCGTCATTGAGAAATGCATGGTGAAATATGAGACTGAGTGGCAGCAAATCTATAAGCCTAAAGAGGCAGCCAAGGCATGGGTGAAATGGATGGCAGCTACAAGGAGCAACAGCCGTAATCAGCAAATAAAAGAACTTACACGCTCACTCAAAAAGCTAGAAGGTCGCTTGCGAAAACTGAAAGACGCAATCAAGCAAGTTTACTACTCTTCGGAACCCGAGCTACAAACCCAATGCCAAGCTCTACAACAGACGATCTTCAGAATGCAGAAGCACAAATATCATATTCATGTGATAGGACTCGAGACCTGCCCACCGAAGGTGGCTCCTCCCCCCAAATTATCCAAGTTCATAAATCGGCATAGTAACAGAAGCGACGATGCTGAATCGCTCGACTCGGACTCCGATGATTTCATCGATGACTCGGGAGTACCACCCTCACCATCACCTGTCCAACACATTTCTCAGCCAGATGACGCGACGCAACCTTCTTCATCTTCAGATGAGGAAGGAGACATAATCAGTGTTTCCGGAACTATACGAAGGGTGAGATCTCGAGGTTATCCATTCGCCGTTTCAAGTTCACCAGACTCAACGCCTGTCGTAATCGATGATGAGACACCGAAAGTCATTGACCTTACAGATGACACACCACACCCTGATGACTACGACATCGCGACACCACCTCTGAATCCAGTTCAGGTTGAGGTGCCGCGGGTTGACCCTACTCTATACGAGAGCATGTCTCCTGTTTCTGACCTTGGTCCTAGCTTCGCTCTAAAAAGAGATGCATCGCAAAGAAGAAGATCGATTTCTCTGCCTGACATGGATGACTACGAAGCACTCAAAAAGCTGGACTCCAATCTGCTGGAGGAGCGTCGAGATCCGCGTCGTCTTCTCATCAAGCTGATTGCCAACCTTGCTCCCAAGGACCGGTTTCAGATGGCCGAGCGCATACCCAGTAGATATGAGGAAGCCGATCTTCGAGAGCTCACTGTGCGAGCGTTGGAGTTGATGCTTCAGAGCCAAGACCGATTGCCTGACTTGGAATATACAGAGAGTATGCTCGTCATGCGCGCTTCGTCCTTCTACATTTCCTGGGTAACTTGTTCTCGGCTCACGGCCAAGGGGATTCCTAGAAACAAGGTTCGTAGAGCATTACGGGAAGTTGAAGGCTATGGGGAGTTCTATCAGGAGTTGTCCTATCATCTGAAAGCATACTGTGATTGGGAACGAAGCAATGGGTTTGGCCATAGCGATGTCACCGACACACCTCATAGGTCCAGAAAACGAGAAGTCAAAGAGAGCGAAGCCGCTAGAAAGGCACGAGAGAATGCGCAACGCCGTGTTGCAATGCAAGAGAACTCCGCAAAGCTGTACATGGAGAGCATGGGAGCAGCCGATACCGACCATACGAATCAAGTTGTGAGCTTTGAGGATCCACCAATTCACCTGCACCAGGCCATCGCGCGGCGAGTAAAACCTCATCAGCTGAGAGGAATTCAGTTCATGTGGCGTGAACTGATAGTCGATGAGACCCATCAGGGTTGTTTGCTAGCCCACACGATGGGCTTGGGCAAGACAATGCAGGTCATATCACTTTTGGTGACTATCTCTGCCGCTTCTAACTCCCTCAATCCTGACATCAAGAAACAAGTACCGGAGAGATTTCGTCGTTCCCAGGCATTGGTACTCTGCCCGTCGTCGTTGACCGACAACTGGCAGGACGAATTATACTTGTGGACCCCCCCTACTATCAAAATTGGACCTTTTTATAAAATCACAAGCAGCGACTCACTGCATGGGAGGCTTGAAACGGTCCAAGAGTGGTATGAAGGAGGTGGAATACTCATCTTGAGTTATGACATGTTCCGCAGCTGGGTTATGAACAGGGAAACCTCGAAGAGGTCAAAACCCTT